TTTTGATGAGGTGATGTATTTCCCTTTCCATCTATTCCATCTACTGCCCTTTTTGATTCTTCTTTACATAAGCTTTATCCTCTAGACTAGAATTTTTCCACTGCTAAGTGATCTGTTCTTTTTTTTTTTTAATTGAGACAGGGAATCCTTGTACCTCCAACTGTCCTGGAGCTCACTCTGTTGAACAGGCTGTTCTCCATCTCTCAAACATCTCCCTGCCTCTGCCTACTACTAAGTGCTGGGAATAAAAGTGTGTACGACTATGCTTGGCTCCACTCATGGATATCTTGAGAAAGCAAAGTAAGCAATACTTGATTTATGAAAGTTTAAGGCATCACAGATGACATAGTAGGAATATTCTCACATAAAGGGAGAAAATGATAAGAAAAGAGAAAGAAGTCTAATGTCACAGAGTTCTATTGTTAGATGTATTCACTGTCTGTTGGTCTCAACAGAAAAACAAGGACCACTCCATGTTTACATTTGACCATAGAGCCACCTACATTCAATCTCACTCCTAAGTAAACACAGAAACCCTGAAAATGAACTAAACCTCGAGTGGCTAAACGCTGCCGCCAAATGGCTAAAAGAATGAAATACTCATTATTTTTCACTGACATCTTTAGTCCTATTCATCCTTTCCTTTTCCTTCTTAGACAGAAGATTAAAATTAAAAATTATAGAATATCTTTCAAACAAAACTAAGTTTGTTGAGAACGTTGTCCCAGAATTCTTTGTGGTATATTTTCTCTCAATAAAGAGTGAATCAACATAATTTCGTTCAACTGCAGGTGTGTTTAAGGTGTCTTTGGAAGGTGACAATCTCATAGTATAATTAAAAAGACTTATTTACAGCAATGATTTGTATTTCAGTGTAATTGTTTTTCAATCAAAATATTTTAAATTCAAGATCAGACAGTTATTAGCTATAAAACAGAATGAATTGTTAAAGGGAATTTAATATTCTTGAAATGAATGTATACAATGTATCACTCTGTACTCCCCACTCCTTAGGTTTCTTGGTGTATGAAGATATGGTCTAATAATCCTTCACACATATCATGTGTGGAACAGATTAGATTCTCGGTAATTGTCAGTAATCATGGTTTATTTTTCTGTTCAATCAACTGTTGCAAAGTAGTTATTGAGATAATTGAAATATGTCATTTTGGGATATTGACAATTCTGAGTCAAAGACACTTGAAATACTGGAGGTGAAAAGTATTCTGACCTTTGTTTCTTAAGAGAGCATGAAGTCCCTTGGAGAAAATGTCCTCTAGTAGTAAAAGAAAGAAAAATTCACATTATCAATGGTTAGCATTGAGATGGAAATAAATCTGTACAGATGTATTAAAGTAGCTCATTTTTAAGCTTGCATTCATGTAATCTCATTGCTTAAGTTTTATTATTCTTTGTCTTATTCAGTGTACACATGGAAATTTATCATTGGCTTTTCATTTCTTTATGAAGATTCCTATGCCAGGTAAAACTTACATAAAATAAATACACAGATTTATCCTAATAATTTGTTTATGCCAAATTAATACTCCCTTTCATCTATCCCCTCCAAAATGGAAAAATGTGAAATTTGCCTTCCCTGTACATTCAAGTTTGAAGCAAATATATAAAGCATTCTGCAGCAGCAGATGTTCAGAAAAGATTTTTTATGTGTGTGATCACCATTTTGAAAAGAAGTAGAATGAAATAAGAAAGTCTAGGTGTTCAATACAGCGAAAGATGTTTCCAGATTGCAAAGTCCTGGCTACTTGGTGGGTCACCTGGCTACTTGGTGGGTCACTCTCAAACCCAACATTCTCCATTGTAGCTGTTCTAGTTTCTTTTTTTGAGGTGAGAAAAACAGTGACCCAAACCAACTTGGGGAGGAAATGGTTTATTTGGCTTACAGTTCACAGTCCATCATCAAGGGAAGCCAAGGCAGGAACTCAGGGCAGGAAACTGGAGCACAGATCAAATCATGAAGGTACACTGCTTACTGGTGCTTACTCGCTTATCATCTTCAGCCCACTTTTTACTGTATTTTTGCAATTTTTATACAATATAGTTTGATGGTGTTTAGAGCTACTCCTTTCTTGGTAACTCACCTCCATTACCTTCATCCAATTTAATGGACGTTCATATATTTATATATGGTCTAAAGGGTATGATTTGCGACTCTAAATGCCTTTCACTGAGGGTCCATCCAGTGGGACCACCAAGAATTCCTACCCTGTAAGTCACTGTCTCCTCCCCACCTCCACCAGCCAATTGCCAAAAGTTCCTTAGGTTATGTTGGAATTTCTCACCTACTTTCCTGTATCTCTGCTGGAATTTTGTCTGATTTGAGATTGTGTAGGACTTGTGCATGCTATCACCATTGCTGTGAGTTCATGTGTGTAACTGACCAGCTGTCTGAATGACTCTATTTCATTGTGGTCATCCATTCCCTCTGGCTCTTGCAATCTTTCTGCTTCCTCTTCAGTGATCCATGAGCCTTGAGAGGCATAGGTTTAAAACAGGTATCCTATTCAGGATAAGCACTCTGCAGCCTCTTGTTCTCCACACATTGGCTAATTGTGGGGTTTTGTGTTTATCACCATCTACTGCATAAAAAATCTTCCTTCTCTGGTGAGAGTTAAGGGATGCATTCATTCTAGTGTAAAGGTTGTTTGAGGATGTGTCACTTAAGTTTAAGTGTCTCACAGACAGTTGTTCTCTGCATTTGTCCAGTTCTGGATTTCTGTAATAGTCAGCTTGCTTTCTTTGACAACACAGGACAACCTGCTCTGGGGTAGAACCATCTAAATTTGGTTATGCCCTTCCATATCACAGAACAATTAAGAAAATGCCTACAGACACACCCACAGGCCATGCAATGGAGGAAATTCCTCAACTGAGGTTCCCTTTACCCAAGTGCCTCAGGTTGACAACTGAAGCCATCCTGCACAATTGACCCCTTGAAACTTGACATATAAGCACATCACTATTAAACCACAGCATCTCCATTCCTTATCCCCAAGAACTCGCATTAATATTATTACAGTATAAAAATTCAAATACTTCAAAAGTTCAAAATTCCTTAAAAAGTATCTTAGTCATGGGCTCTGGTAAATTCCACGTCTCACACTGTTTATTTCAAATGGGAACAACTGTACACACTTAAGCAAAATCAATGTTTAGCAATATAGCTCATGGTTAGGGATCTGGGACTCACCAATCTTCTGGGTTCCGAAAGGCGTGAGCAGGTTCACATCTCTGACTTTGTGTTCCAGAGCACACATAGCTTGTCTGGTAGGCTCAGGCCAGCTCTACTCCACATGTGCTGCTGCCCTTTGTTAGTTGTCCCATGACCCTGGCATCTCTAATATGCTGGGGTCTCCATTGCAACCTACACTTCACTTTCACCAATGGCCTTTCTTGGCCTATCACACCTCCAAGCCACAGCTGCCCTTTATATCCTCTTAAAGTCTTCAAAACCAGTAACATATAGGAGATGCTTACACATTACAAGTCCTGCTTCCAGATTTAGATAGAGGGGCTGGAGAGATGGCTCAGAGACAGCACTTTAAGCTCTGTCTGTGTACTGACCATGAGGAAATACTTTCCTAAAGATTTCAGTCAATGATGCTGAGGTCTTGTTACTCACAGCTGGTATTTCAGGTCCAGCCAACCTGCCTTCATTATCCCAGCAAAACACAAAAGGTTTTGCTTCCAAAAATTTTTTTTATTCAAAATATATCAAACAAACTGCCCTGATACAGTTTTTGCTTCCCTTTGAATCTTTACAAGCTAAGCCTCCATCATCTAAATCTCTTTCTGCATTATCTACCAA